TTCTGTTACTCTCAATTAGTTGTATGCCATGTCCTGGTGTTCCTGATGCAATGGTGATGTAGTCCAGGCCTCGCAGCTGCCCACTGGGAATACTGTGTCACCAGTGCCCTCCAGGATAGTTAATCTTCAAAATCTCAGGAGGAAAAAAAATTTACTATTTTCTGAGATATTCCAAGACCTTGGGAAAAGTACATTATTATTTTTTTCTGCACAGATGATGCAGATGTCATTGGTGAGCCAACCCAGAAACTAGGGAAAAAGAAGTTGGCCATATAGATATTTAAAATAGTGGTGTGAGGTTGACTGTGCAAGGTCACAGTATTTAGGTCAGGCAAGCCACAGTAAGAATAATGATGTGTATCCTGTATTCATTTAATTGATTCTGGTATATATTAAAAGGTGAAGAGATGAAAAGTCTTGCTTTAGGCCACCACATTACAAACAAGAAACTCAAAGAATAATAAATGGGACTTTTTAGATATCAAAATTTACAACATAAATATATGTAATATATACAATCACTTTTAGTACATACAGTTGAATTTACAACTTAGACATTGTTAAAATTTCTACTATGAGTAAGGTTTAATAACTGAATCCCTGGGATTGTAGCAATAGCGCTTTCATGTGAAAGCATGTAGTGAATTTCTTATGTGTACTGAGGAGATATATGCATAATGAAGTATATTACTTGCCACAGTAAAGTTTTAATTCCCTGGGATTTTGTCAATACCACTTCCACTTGCACTTGCTTCTATTTATTTTTCCTGTAGATAAAGTTCATGGGTTTTGGCATTTGACAGACTCCTCTGAGCGCGCCCTGTGTGATTTTGGTTGTACCCCCCCCCCCCCCCCCCCCCCCCGTTTGTAAGTAAATGTGGAGTTTATGGCATGAGCCTTCTAAATGAGTGGGTTTTATTTGCATATATTCATGGACTTCATAATATAATTCTTGTTTTTATTATAGTAAAGCTGCATGCCTCCTGATTATCTCCTCCTGTGACCTGCTCTGTGATTTACTCTGGGTAGAATGTATGGGGTCCCCGAAGTCTGATGGGTTCCCTTTTGGGTTGGACCCTTGCGCTCTGTAGTCTATCCATGTGGGTGGAGTGGGTGGGTTTGCTCCCCCTGAATCATGGCACACAGATACTGATGACGATATGGATTATTTTTATTATATCTAATATGTGCATATTTATTTTTTACAATTTGCATTTATTCCTAAGTGACTTCCTGATGAAGCACAAGAGTGAAATATGCTGAAACCACTAATAATGATTGTTTATGCACAGGTATTATGAGAAATGCCCCTTTGATATAACACACTACGTGTTTTTGTTTTGGGGTACAAATATATTGTGGTTATCCAATTGTCATTATGTTTAACAATGTCTAAGTTGTAAATTCAACCATATGTAAATAAGAGTGATTTTATGCAATACATATATTTGTGTTGTCAATTTGGCACCTACAAAGTCCTATTTATTATTGTTCTTTGAGTATCTGATTAATTTTTAGGGGATGTGGTGCTTGAATTTGCTCCTCTCTCATCTGCTTTGAAATTAAACATTACAAACCAGTTTTCTCCTCAGTATTGCATTTGCCAAAGAAATAACAGCAACTCCATTCTGTGTAACATTGGACAATGCCATCTCAACAGAGACAGGTTTGGGCTGGAGTACAAAAGCCATTGCTAAAATATGTCACTGCCTATTATACGGCTTAATGGGCTGCCTCCATTGCTGAGTAGGATAAGGTGCTGGAATTCATAGATGGAGGTCTGTAATGGCTGGATCAGGTCTGGGTTTGCTGGACTGTGGTTTCCAATTACTGGATTTAGACCTATAATTAATTACTTATTGGAGACTACCTAATGGATGGTATGGATATGATGGGTATATTTTACTATATAACTGTGGCCAGAGAAATTTGTCATATTGGTGGCTTGAGATTTAAATTCTTTATAATGGTGACTGAACAATTATAGTCACTAGGGGCTATATTATAACTGAGCCTTGGGTAGGTTCTTCACCTGGGATTACTGTATTGCCTCTTCCCCAGGCACACAGAATTTTAGATAAGCACTTCATGCCCCACCATTGTTGCCCTTGGTAGTGCCCTGTGGTTCACAATCTGCTCAGTGGCAAACCAAACAAACTTTTACAACATTACAAAACATTTTATTTCTTTAGAATTTTATGGCTACAATGTACAACATTACAATTTTGAAGAGAAGTTATAAAATTACTCCATATTAGACAGAGCTATAGGCAATTTTAGTATCACTGGGCAGATATGGATGGGAACAAATTCAAAGAGATGGATCTAATGGAAAATCGTGGCACTTCTAAAATTAGCTTGCATCAATAATTCATGAATTTATGAACTGCATGGTTAACTAGACCCCTGCAGTTTTAAAATGAATTAGTTTTGATAAAAAAGGCTCTTGATTGACTTCCAGTTTAAAGATTTTTGAGTCAGAGTACATGAGACTCATGCCATTAGTTTAAAATAAAATTGATGTTTATAAGATGTAATGACATTGAAGTCACTAATCCCAAACATCTGGTGTGCTAAGATAGTGTGTTTCCTTCCTATTATTTATATCTTCCCTTATGCCACCTTTATGTGTTTATTATTATCACTGCAAAGTTGCTAACGAGTCTGTGCACAGGATTTCCTTTTGGATGAAATGCTGCCACTCTTTATCTTGGAAGCTAATAAAGCTATGTGGCAGATTCTTTTACCAATTTAGGAAAGCTAATGCTTTGCTTACTTTTTTATAACATATACATTAAGAGGCGTATTTATGTATCAGCAAATTAAACATTTATCAAGCGTTTACTGCAAGTGAATTAATCACTGTAATTTAACCACTTGCCATTCGTCTGTTTTGTATAAAATGGCAACAGTGTCAAAGATCTCTAGCCACACCAGTCCCAGTGTCACCAGACCAGTGTAAGCCAGTCGCAGTGTCTCTGATCTCTAGCCACACCCTGTCCCAGTGTCACCAGACCAGTGTAAGCCAGTCGCAATGTCTCTGATCTCTAGCCACACCTGTCCCAGTGTCACCAGACCAGTGTAAGCCAGTCGCAGTGTCTCTGATCTCTAGCCACACCTATCCCAGTGTCACCAGACCAGTGTAAGCCAGTCGCAGTGTCTCTGATCTCTAGCCACACCTGTCCCAGTGTCACCACCAGACCAGTGTAAGTCCCAGTCACCACAGTGTAAGCCAGTCACAGTGTCTCTGATCTCTAGCCACACCAATCCCAGTGACACCAGACTAGTGTAAGCCAGAAACAGTGTTCCTGATTGCTAGCTACATTTTCACAGTGTCACCAGACCAGTTTTAGTTGACAACAGTGTTCCTGATTGCAGCCACACCAGCATCCATGTCACCAGACCAGTGTAAGGCAGCAACAGTGTTTCTGATCGCTAGCAACAACAGTGTCAGTGTCATCAGTCCAGTGTAAGCTAACAGAAGTGTTCCTGATCACAAGCCACACCAATTTGATTGTCAACAGATCAGTGTTCCTGATTGCTGCCATACAAGTGCCAGTGTTGCCAGACCACTGCAGCCAGCAACAGTGTTCCTGAAAACTGCTACATCAATCTCAGTAACTCCAGATGAGTGTAAGTCAACAACAGTGTTCCTGATTGCTAACCACACCAGGCTCAAAATCACCAGACCAGTGTAAGCCAGCTCCAGATTTCCTGATTGCTAATGACACCAAAGACAGTGTTGCCAGGCCAATACAGCTGAATGGCTGTCTTTTGAGAGCTGGCCATCATTTTTAAATGACCTCATCCTTGCCGTGTTTGTGCACACCCTCTATTGCATGCACTAGCATGCTCTGTGATTGCTATGTCCATTGGAAATGATATAAACATTGTGAAAGGGCCACAGGGTACACTTAGGACATTTTAGGTAAGGGAGAGACAACCATCTGGAGCCTCATGGACAGGGCTGCTGTTAGAAATCATGGAGTGCCTACCTGACAGGCCCCTCCCTAAAATGTTAAAAGAATCTTTTCGCAAAAGATATACTAAAATCATTATCAAACACAAAACACCTTACAAAATCCCTGCTAAATCTAAAGATTAAAGTGTATTGATTTAATAAATCTGTGTGTGTGTGTGAGTGAGGTCTGGGGACCTGTACAGTGTGAATCAGTGCTTTATTTTATGTGGTTGGAGCTGTGTGTAGGCAGCCTATGTTATGCTATGGGGATGCAGTGTCTCTATAACACAAAGCCGCAGGTTCTAATTTGACAGTCGTGTGGATGCAAGTGTATGGCCCCAAACACAGACAGTGTGCATTTGGGGCCATTCACCTATACCTTCACAAATTAGGACCAGCAGCTCAAGGTAATCTGAATCTGGCTTCAAAGTGACAACAGATTTAGTGCTGTAAGAGTTTTCAAAACCGCAATGGCCATTTTACTCTGCACCTTTTGTATTATGGGAAATGTGCTTGTCTATGGCTACCTTTGTCCCATTAATCCAGACGTTTAGTAGTATTGTCAAACTACAAGAACTTTGATATTTGTTTGTAGCGCTTTGTTATTCATAGTATTTTCTCAAAATGAAAAAAAGTTCTCTTTTTGGAAAGGTAGGTGAAAATGTTGTGTACGTAACCATAGCATTCTTTTTTTTTATATGTATCATTGCTGAAATGTTGTACAGAAGAATATTTATATCCTAAGAAGATAAGTAGATTTGAAAATAAGCTCTGTCGGGAGTTTTCAAGTGGAGCAGTGAACGGATTAGCCTATTAACCTGTTTCTCCAGTTCCAATATTACTACCAGGACCTGAACAGATCCTATTATGAAAATATTCTGCCCAATACTTGAAGTAGCTTAAGGAATGATGCTCGTGCCTAGATTAACAAGTATTGTGTCATCTCCAGCACTGATCATACAATTTTGCCTACATTACAGAATGTCAGATACAGTATTTGCAAGTTTAAATGACATGAAGTTAAATTATAATTTGATAATTTTTTAAAACAGTAAAATGCTAAGGTAAAGTATTATGATGTTGTACATCCCCCTGTCTGTTAAAGTAAGCGCAATTTCTTTTTATATCAATAATCACTGAATTTTTTATATTATATGGGAAATTTCTAACAGCATGTGATGCAGATTTTGCTGTTCTAAAGATGGCAAAAAAATGCACACAAAAAAAGAAACCAAAGTATGGTGATGGCAGTTTCAACTAAATAATGATCTTTTGATTGCTTTTATTTTATTATCTAAAATAAAATAAACAGGGGACTGTAAAAAAACAGTTGCTATAAAATAATTGAATGTCTTAATTTTGAGTGACATGGGGAAGAAATAATAGCTGACTAGGACCCCAGCAGGTAAAATATCCCTGATCACATGACTGTGACAAGGAAACCTCAACTTTCCATTGACCTATTCAAGCCATAAACATGTTTATGACATATCCTTGTTGGACTGATGGGGCCTTTCTGTTTACTATGATTTCCAATTGTGTTTGCATATGAATAGGTAGATAATTCACTTAGGACAGGTCATTGATTTAACCACTTTCCCTCCAGAGGATTTATTCCCCTTCCTTCCTGACCAAGCCATTTTTGTGTTATGCCGCTGTGTTACTTTGACAATTGCACGGTAATGCAACGCTGCACCCAAATGAAATGTAAGTCCTTTTTTCCCCATGAATAGAGCTTTCTTTCGGTGGTATTTGATCGCCTGTGCATTTTTAATTTTTTTGCACTATAAAAAGAAGACCGACAATTTTGAAAAAAAACAATATTCTTGACTTTTTGCTATTAAACATGTCCAGTAAAAAAATACATTTAGGACAAAATGTATTCTGTTACATGTCTTTGCTAAAAAAAATCCCAATACGTGTAAATTAATTGGTTTATGTGAAAGTTATAACGATTACAAATGGCAGTATGTATACTGGGATTTTCTTTTAAATATTTTATTTTTACTAGTAATGGCGGCAATCAGCAACTCATAGCAGGACTATGGGACTGCAGCAGGCATTCTAACACTGAGGCGAACTGACTTGGTGTCACAGACATCCCCAGTGACACCAATACAGTGATCAGTGCTAATAAAAAGCACTGACACTGTACTAATGGCACTGGGCAGGAAGGGGTTAACATGTGGGGTGATCAAAGGGTTAACTGTGTACTGTGTGCTGTTTTACTTTGTGATGTGTGTGTGTGCTTCACTGTAAGCACACTGCTTTGCATGGCTCTGCTATGCAAAGCCATGAATAGCAGTGTGCAAGAGTTGACAGGGGAGAGAACTGTATTGTTTACATACAGTTCTCTCCCTCCATCGGTAATTTCCTCGATTGCAGGGTGCCAGCGAGTAATCACTGGCCGGGACCTGGTCATTGACAGCTGAATAGTAGCACGGGTAGGACGCGCGCGTGCCCCCTACGTAGAAATGAGAAATCACGTATATATATATATATATATCTATATATACAGTTGTGTTCAAAATAATAGCAGTCAGACATCACTAACCTGATCAATCACTGTTTTTGGTAGAAATGATATTTCTACATGGCAAATAATTTACTAGCAGGTGAAGTAGAGTAATAGAAATCCAGCAGACCCAACAGTCATGACATGCATGCTGCTGATTCTGTGTAATTGAATCACTAATTGAAAGGGGCATGTTCAAAATAATAGCAGTGTGGAGTTCTATTAGTGAGGTCATTCTTTCTTTGAAAAACTGGTGGCAATTATTGCCCTTATTTAAGGAAGGAAGGCAGCAAATGTTGTACATGCTGGTTACAGTGCATTTCTCTCTGAAATTCTGAGGAAAATGGGTCGTTCCAGACATTGTTCAGAAGAACAGCGTACCTTGATTAAAAAGTTGATTGGAGAGGGGAAAACATATAAATGCAGAAAATGATAGGCTGCTCAGCTAAAATGATCGCAAATACTTTAAAATGGAAACCAAAACCTGAAAGATGTGGAAGAAAGCGAAAAACTACCATTCAAATGGATAGAAGAATAGCCAAAATGGCAAGGACTCAGCAAACAATCAGCTCCAGGAAGATCAAAGAAAGTCTAAAGTTACCTGTGAGTACTGTTACAATTAGAAGACGCCTATGTGAAGCCAAGCTATCTGCAAGAGAAGCCCCCGCAAAGTCCCACTGTTGAAAAAAAGACGTGCTGAAGAGGTTACAATTTGCCAGAGAGCACATTGACTGGCCTAAAGAGAAATGGCGCAACATTTTGTGGACTGATGAAAGTAAGATTGTTCTTTTTGGGTCTAGTGGCCGGAGACAGTTTGTCAGACGACCCCCAAACACTGAATTCAAGCCACAGTACACTGTGAAGACATTGAAGCATGGTTGCGCAAGCATCATGATATGGGGATGTTTCTCATACTACGGTGTTGGGCCTATTTATCGCATACCAGGGATCATGGATCAGTTTGAATACATCAGAATACTTGAAGAGGTCATGCTGCCTTATGCTGAAGAGGAAATGCCCTTGAAAGTGATGTTCCAACAAGACAACAACCCCAAACACACCAGTAAACGTGCAACATCTTGGTTCCAGACCAACAAGATTGACGTTATGGAGTGGCCAGCCCAATCCCCGGATCGTAATCCAATAGAAAACTTGTGGGGTGATATCAAAAATGCAGTTTCTGAGGCAAAACCAAGAAATAGAGAAGAACTGTGGAATGTAGTCCAATCATCCTGGGCTGGAATACCTGTTCACAGGTGCCAGAAGTTGGTTGACTCCACGCAACACAGATGTACAGCAGTTCTCAGAAACAGTGCTTATACAACTAAATATTAATTAAGTGATTGAAAGGAAAGCAAAATCTTCAAACATTTTTCAGTTTATATAGTGAATGTTTGAGGTGGAAAGAAGAATACAAAACTGCTATTTTTTTGAACAGTCTAATATTCACTTTTCTTAAATTTTTTTTGAGGAACAACACAAATTTGATATATTTTTCTTCATGTTTTGATTTGGAATAGAATGTGTAGTGTTCCCAATCCATTTGTGTGTATGGAGATAAAAGCTATTAGAAGGATTTTGAGCTTTATTCACTTTTTTAACACACTGCTATTATTTTGAACACAACTGTATATATATACGTATGATTTTGCACAGCCGTGCTGCCCTGTAGCAGTTTATTAACTATTATTAGTTAATAAATTGCTATTATTAAATTTGCCGCAAAAGTCAAGGAGAAATTATATCAAAAGAAAGAAAGATACAGTACACAGAGTATAAAACATTTATTTATTACAGGTACGTATAAAGTGTCACCAATTTCCGCACACACACACACACATATATATATATATATTTATATATAAACATTAACATTAGTCTCCAACCCTCAAGGAGCATACAATCTAAGAACTCACAGCTTACATACATACACATACTGAGGGATGAATTGGGAGGAATGACAGGATGGCCGTTAGGTGAAGGCTTCCCTATGGGTTTTGAGGCAGCGCCTGAATGTAATAGGCGACATTCTGATGGAATGAGTTCCAGAGGATGGGGGAGGACTGGAAAGTCACCCTGCAGTCGCACACACACAGAGATAGAAGGATAGGAGCGAATATAGGATAGGTTGGTGAGGTAAACTTTTAGGTCATTAGGAGTTTAAATTTTATTTGGGCAAAGCCCAACCCTCAAGGAGCATACAAGCTAAACTCACATTTCTACCCTCAAGCACAATCACTATTCAGGGCACTAGGGCCAATTTAGACAGGAGCCAATTAAACTAGCAGCATGTCTTTAGAGTTTGGTAGGAAACTGGAGGACCCGGAGGAAACCCACGCAGGCACAGGGAGAACATGCAGACTCCAGGCAGGTAGTGTCATGATTGGGATTTGAACCAACAACCCTCGTGCTGCTAGGTGAAAGTGCTAACCACTTTTATCATGCACGCACTCTTGTGGTGCACTGTTAGCAGGATTATGTGGAAGCAATTGGGCAGCAGCGAAGCTGCCCAAATGTTTCCACCTGACAGGCAGGAGTCTGCTTCTCAGATTTACACACATTCCCAGTGGCTGCATGTATGTAAACGCCCCTGCTGTCAGGCCCGTGCAACGTACAGACCAGGCAGCAAAAGGGTTATATTTTCAGTCTGGGGGAGTGGAGTGTTAAAAGTACTAGCATATTTAAATACAATATCAAATTGTAATTGCACTCCAGCTAATACTTTATAATCAGTTACAGCAAACAGTTTTTGATCTGCATACACTTATGGGACTATCTTATCTGGATGGAAATGCTCAGGAGATGGACACATGGAATCTGTAGGGAGTTCTTGGGGAAAAGAAGCCAGCCTAAGAACTGAGCTGTATAGCAGACACCAAGAAGTGCATGTTTTTATCCTTTCAACTTACACAAAGCCCCAGTTACTGCTGGAAATCCATAGGAAACCTTGTACTTTTGGGTTTGGAGCAAATGTATCTACTCTTGCCTTGCTCCTAAACTGCAGTGTTCAGTGCCCGAGAGGTCAAATATTTTTTTTGGCCTGGGCACTGTCACCTCGGCGCCACTGACGCCTATCAACCCCTGCTAAAATTCTGACTTTTGCATGATCAGTATAAAGTACATAATTAACATAAAATATTTGTGTACCATACAATTTTGGCTGAAAAGGCACAAATCGGTTTTTACAAAATTGTAATAATGATAAAGCTGTCAGCATTTTTAAAAAAAGTCCACAATCCTTGATTAATGCTCATAAATTGTCGATATTGAATTTAGCAATTTATTTCTTCATTTTTAAAACATATTATATAGCATTTTTCTTCATGCCGACTTAGGTTGTCAGTTTCACACTGTTTGCTGAGAGAAAAAACCTTTTCAAAATCTTCAAATAGATTTAGCCACTTCCGTTACCCAGCATGATATAGCAATAAAAAACACCACATGAAAAATAGTATTGATCATAACTGAGGTATATAGAGGACATTATTGTACCCAGACACACACAGCGGAGTGTGTTGTGCTTTTCAAAAAAAATGAAAAGATATAAATGAAAAAGGTAGCAATCCAGAGCCCATTCACTACAAATATCTGCAAAACTGCATTCACAAAGGCCTCCTTATGATCTGTTTTACAGCCCAATAGGAGTAAATGCATTTTTATATAAAACGGCAAATTGTATTGATTCTTTTTGATATGTCTGCTACACTTCAGCTACAACATATGCACAGGTATTTCAGACCAGTTGCAATGAAAATGAGCAATTTATAAATGTTTAGGTAAGTCCAAAATCAGATTTTTATGTGGTGGTGGTGGTGGTTGGGGGGGGGGGGGGTGTTAAATGTACAAATAAGCTTACAAGAAACAGTTTTGAATGTCATATGCATCAAAAAATATAAATAGTTTTTTTTTTTTATTACATTTAAGACCCATTCACACAGAAGTGTTGTGCTGTGTACAGGGGCAGACTGACCATTTGGAAACTCGGGCGCTGCCCGAGGGCCCGGGGTCAGTAGGGGGCCCTATGAGATGCCCCTGGTACCTTTTTCATAGGCTTTTTTGAGTTTGGGCAAGGACACAGGGGCCCCATGATCCCCTATTGCCCGGGGGCCCCATGAGTTGTCAGTCCGCCCCTGGCTGTGTAGTTGGGCTATGTTGCTGAACTCAGTCCCAACAAAAGTGAAAAAGTGAAATTGGAAAAAGGACATGTTGCATATTTGTGCAGCATGTGCCAATACACTGTAATGCATAGTAATGTGCTGGAGCCCATAAAAAAACAACATAGCTGTTAAAAAAAAAAGGAAAAAAAACCCAAACATATTGCAGAGCATGTAAAAACACTTTTGGTGTATGCTGGATCCCAGGGAGAAGAGGGAAGGAATACATGGAGAGTGTGATGGACAGCCATGGATTGAGTGCGCTTTTCTGGATGTACATATCACATGCAGCTGTTGCATCTGGATTGGGTTAAAAAGGAATTACTGCTGTGCATGTGTCGTGTTGGTTCAGAGAATACACTGTCTTCAGGATTCTGGTGGAATTACTAGGCTCTGAAAGAGAGAGGGAGATAGAAAGGAACGACACCTCCCAGTGAGTCCAGGTCAGTGTGCCTGTGTTATGAGGGGGAGCTGAGACTGAATGTTTGCTACTTGTGAGTACTCATAGGGATAGACACTGAATTTGCTTTTCCTGGGTCACACACCATTTGCACAGCACTTGCCTGACACGGTGTAGCTCTTCCATTTTAGAAGTGTTAGGGTCTCTTAGACTTAGTGTGTGGTATTCGGGGTACAAAGAGTGATAGAGGCCATTCTTCCACAAAGGAAGCTTTGCACAAACCCTTATTTGGACTGACCCACTAGTGGCACAGGGTGACATGATGGCAGAGGAAATTCTGTGGAGGAAGGACTAATGTTGAGGAAACTGCCAGGTCGACTAGAGTGGTAAGAGGCCCCCAGCCATTGCTTTAGTTTGCTTTGCTTATGTGTTGGGTTATAAATGCTCCCAATTGGGAATGAGTGCTCCAATGGGTGATTTAAGGACCCAGTGCCAGACCTCCTATATACAAAGTCTACTGGCCAATGGTAGAGAAAGGGATCCTTCTCTTAGTCAGGCACTGTATAAAGTTATTTTTTTACTGTTTGCAATTTGTTCACTAAAAAGAAAAGTCTGCTTGGATTACTGTATATCTGTGGACAATAACCCCTAAACCTACTGTGTTTGACCAAAACTTACTGCTTGTTGTGTTTTAGCATAGCAGTTACCTAATCCATAAGGTGGATGAGTCGGGCAGCAGCATTCATGATGGACTGAAGGGGTATAGCCTATGTAAAGATAAGTCAATGAGGAGGGAGTTGCAGTAGTCGAGGTGAGAGATAACCAAGGAGTGATTTAGAAGCTTTGCGATGTTGTTGGGTAAAAGTGGAGGTATTTTGGAGATGTTGCGGAATTTGAGGCTGCATGATTTGGACAGTGATTGGATATGGGGCCAAAAGGAGAGTTCAGATTCCAGTATTACCCCTAGCACTCTGGCATGTGGGAATGGACTGATAGTTGTGTCATCAATCTTGACAGAGAAGTCAGGTGTATGTGGGGTAGCTCAGTTTTGGCTAGATTGAGGAAGTGGTGTGACATCCATATTGATATGTCTCTTAGTAAATTAGTGATAACACAATTAAAAAAGAGCGCATGGCCACCCTAGTGTAATCCAGTTTATTAAAAACAACAACAAAAGTCTGCACCATATGCACTCACATGTTCCATGTAGGAAAAAGGCATGTCTGTGTTCACACCAAACCCTCCTGATGGCCGCTGCGTGATCCAGGCGATGGTAACTGTACAAATCCTTCTCGTATCATCAGCAGACAGCTAGGATGCTGCTACAACCTGTCAGCGGTGTGGAGATGGTATTGCGCATGCGCACGTGCCTGACAGCGCTGCTCTTCTTGGCTGATGATCGCAGGGCAGGGAGAAGCTTTGGATGCAAAAGACAGACACACTCATGTATCTTGGTTGCCAGGATGATGTGTTTCGGAGTCACGCCCACCCCTCACACATATTGTGTTTTTATAGGGTCTGCCCAACTCCTCCCCTGGCCTGGATCTTACGAAATTGGCTGCACACTAATAATCTTAAACAGGGCAACAGCAACACACAACATTATTACTAAAAGCCTATGAAATTCATAAATACCTATAAAGAATGTATATATATATATATATATATATATATATACCGGTATATTAGATATATAAATTTGATTAAACAACATAGTGCATAAATGAGTCACCTAATATAAGAGGTGTGTTTCTACCTCAATAACTAGTATAAAAGGGATTTTTTTTACTAGATACAAAATACAAAAAGGTGGGGGGCATTGCTTCCTCATCATCACCAAAAAACCCCAAAGTAACGCTATCATGACTCGGGGACTAAATAGCTCTAACATATTCATCAGGGCTCCTGATGATGCACGTTAGCGCGAAACAGCTGTTGAGAGAGATTTTATTTTGATACTCCAGAGGTCCCACTACCACTCTCATGTGAGTTTGGCAGCTAAACATGTAAGTGAATTTTTGTTGTTTGGTTATTTTAACATATGTCCATTATGTTTTTGGCTGTGGACAGGGCTGCTGTTTGAAACCACAGGGCCCCATACAGCCAACCTGGCAGCCCCCCCCCCCAAAAAAAAACAGTTTACTATGCTTCAGTTATGAATGAACACACTGAGGGATTGGTACCCGAGCACTCATTGTGTTCATTCAGGAAGGAAAGGGGCTGATAAAATGTTACATATTTACAGGACCCTTCCTCTACTCTGCATTCTGAAGGATCCTATTGTGTGCTTGCAGCTGCTGGTAGGAAGGAGGGGAGGGAAGCCAGCAGCACTCTAGGGAAGGGGGCACACAGGGCGGAAGCATGGGAAAGCGTATGGTGCACAGGGAGGGTGATAAGGTGCTATGGGGGGGCAAATACTAAACCAATCCCCTATATGGTTCTCTCTGCTGCAGCATGGTTCTCTCTCTGAAAGCCAGGGGGAGGGAGAGGAGAAGAAGCTGATAGTATTTGCAAAGCCTCTGTGCCGATCACCCTTCCTGCCCACATCTGATTCACCCAGCTGCCTGGGCCCCCCTGCTGGCCTGGGCCTCATACAGGAGGACTGGTGGTACCCCTTTATCCATGGCCCTGGCTGTGGATATTTTGTTTTTAATAAAATTACTACACTATAAGACCTTTTTTTGTTAATGGTCTTCTGTGGTCTCAATGGGCTAAGAGAGTGATGAATAGAGATTGATTCGTTTGGAGCACCTGGAGAAGAGCTTCATTGTTTAACAAAGTGCCATTTGCTGTTCTATTCATTTAGACAGCAATTGTGTCTGGTGAGTGTGCATTTTATTCAAGGTGGAGGTCAAACACTATTCAAGTTACTATATGAAGGAAAGTCACAGATATTTGATATTGCTGGACTGTTTATTCCTTTTTTATTAACACACTTGTCACGGGTGTTGTTGGTTTTTTATTTGCCTTTTGTGTTGCTTTATAAGTGCTGCAAACAATTGTATTTTGTATTATTTTACTGTTTGTTTGTGTATGAACACTTTTTGCTAGCAGCTAATTTCTATTACTGAGCGCGATACTTTTAAAATATTTTTTAAATATATAAGATGTGTTTCTACCTCAATAACTGGTATAAAAAAGGGACTTTTTTTAGATAAAAAAATACAAAAAGGGAGGGGGTTGCTTCCTTATCATCACCAAAAAACCACAGAGTAACCCTATCCTGACACGGGGACTCAATAGCTCCATCATATTCATTTGTAAGTATTTGGTTAAATGCCCTTGAGAATAAAGAGTCACCTAATATTTGATATCAGTCTGACTAATCTGGGGGGAGGGGGATTTCCATGTGGACTTGTGTGCATATGGACTCTATGGGGTTTATTTACTAAATCTGGAGAGTCCAAAATCAGACTCCCTTCTGCATAGAAACCAATCAGCTTCTAACCTCAGCTTGTTCAATGAAGCTTTGGCAATGAAACCTGGAAGCTGATTGGTTTCTATGCAGAAGGGAGTCTGATTTTGGACTCTCCAGCTTTAGTAAATAAACCCCTATCTGTTTAGTAATAAATTAGCGATACAAAAGGAAACCGATGGTGTGAGCTGAGAGTTAAAACATGGATTTGGGTGTCATTAGCATAGAAATGGTATTGGAAGCCATGGGAACCTATGAGCAGACCCAGGAAGGAGGTGTAGATTGAGAATAGGAGAGGTCCAATGACAAAACGTTAGGGGACCCCAACGGAAAAAGGAATAGGAGAGGAGGAAGTAGAGTTATAAATGACACTGAAGGTGCTGTGAGATAGGTATGATGAAAACCAATGAAGAATACAATCATTGAGAGCAAGGAAATAGAGTTATTTGAGGAGGAGGGGATGGTCAACTGTATCAAATGCAGCAGAGAGGTCCAAGATTAAGAGTATAGAATAGTGACCATTGGTTTTAGCTGTTAGCAAGTTGTTTGTGATTTTAGGAGAGCAGCTTCTGTGAAGTATTGTGGGCAAATTCCAGACTGAAGGGGATTAACAAGATTAATCTTACTGAGGTGGCAGCTCAGGCAGTTGTAGATTAGGCATTCAAGGTGTTTGAAGGAAAAAAGGGATGCTGAAGTCACCAAGAATGATTGTGAGAATTTCAGCAGAGAGAAAGTAGGGTAGCCAGGCAGAGAAGTCATCCACAGGGCACAGGAGAAGAAGAGGCTGGTTTCAGAAAGAACAGGAATAGAAACCAGATTGTGTGGATTGCAGCTGTTGTTGGAGGATGTAGGGGTGCCAGTTGTGTTGGTCAAAGTTAAGAGATGGTGGCCCAGGATTTGGTGACGTTAGGAGAAGCAGAAGGGTGAGAGAGGTAATATGGGTTTGTGAATTATATGGAGGGACATGTCCCACTGTCCTGTAGGGTTTATTAGCATGTGGGTTCAGAATTAGCAGTTGGTGAGTGCAGTAATAAGGAGAAGACAGGTTTGAAGAGAGAGGACACAACTGTAAGAAGAAGTAGTGAGTGCATGTTACAGAATGGAGAGATTTAGAAGCAGACTGGGTGAGAGATTAAAGAGCTGGATGGGGAAACTGGTCACCTGCAGTCTAT